GGAATTAAAGAGCTTCTGAAGGACTTCAAGTACCGGTTTTCCACCCGCTTTCAGAAGCTCCGCTGTAATTCCATCCTCGCCTGGGGCCTTGCCGTTTTTAAGGTGCTGGAGAGCCATTCTAATCTCGCTCAGACTGACGTCCGGGATATCAACGGAATAATGTCGGATAAGACTCGCTCTTGGATCGTTACTCACACTTGCGTGCGGCTCCAACGATGACGTGTACAGCTGCCCATAGAACCTCTCAATCTCACTCAAAATCTCAGGTGCCCCGGAAACGATGCTGCCACATTCTGTCTTCAGCTTTGACAGTTGGCGCTTTCTGGCAGACAGATCTCTGGCAAAGACTTTGGAGCCTTGGTTCCGCTCGATCGCTTCTTCAATACGAGCTGTATTGAAGTTGCGTAAGTCCCGCCGCATGCATTTGGAGATCTGTCTGTTCAGTTGCCTGTATGCTGTTAAATCTGTTGAAGAATGTAGCTTCATCTCCCGTCTAACAGCCATGAGATTAAGAGTGTGATCGGAGAGTTTTTGTGTTCTTCTGCGGCGGGTCTTGCAGAATTTAGCTCCGACCGCATGGACAGTTTCCACGAGCTTGTCATTCAAATCGTCCACTTCATTGCAGTCTTCTAGGCACTGAAAACGGTTTTGTAACTCGAGCTGAAAGGTTTCGGGACTTTGGAACAGAGCACGAGGGGGACGGAGCGTCGACTTCATTAGACGAGACCTCTCCAACTTAACGTTTAGGTTCAGTGTGCCTCTAACCATTCGGTGATCGCTGCCGGTTTTCACCCTCGCGATCACTGAGACATCACTGAACAGTTGTCGTCTGGTCGTCATAATGAAGTCAATCTCATTTTTTGTCGAACCGTCGGGGCTCGACCAGGTCCACTTTCTGTGGGGCCGCTTCTGGAAGAAAGAGTTCATCATAAAGAGTCCCTCTTTCTCCATAAAGTCAGCCAACTGCTGGCCCCTTGGGTTCCGTTGCCCTATTCCAAATTTCCCTACTTTCAGCTCACCGTTCTCTCTTGCGCCTAGTTTTGCATTGAAGTCTCCCATTAACACCGTATATTGGGTTTTGGAGGAATGCATGGCTCTATAGATATCCTCATACATTTCCTCCACCTCCTGATCGGGGTGTGCCGAGGTTGGTGCGTAAACCTGTATGACCTTCAGCGAATACCGTTTGGTGATTCTGAGTATAAGGTACGCAACCCTCGTCGACACACTCTCGATCTTTACAACGTTGTTAACGAGAGACTTGTGGACGATAAATCCGACACCTCCTTGGGACAGTTGGTCGCCCTCCCGGTAATAGAGCAAGTTGCCGGATTCGAGGATTACCGTGTCCTCCCCCTCTCTTCGGACTTCGGATAATCCTATAATATGCCAGCGTAACTTGTCTATCTCTTCTTCCAGCTCCACAATCTTCTCGTCAGTCCTCAGGGTGCGTGCGTTGTATGTTGCCAGGTCGAGTCGTCGTAGGTGGCAACCGAACCTCCACCGGAGATTCTTAGCACCCCCTGCCCCGCCGTTACCATGGTCGCCACCGTAGCCAGGAATAGCGGGGCCGCCGGGGACTGGGGGCCGTTTATTATTGTCATTGCTCATGGGGGGTATATTGCCATAGTTGCCACGCTTGGCGAGCGGGTTGGCAACCGCAGTTTTTTTATTGTTATTTTGGCTATTATCAGGAAGATGCTGCTGCCCATCTCCTGCCTGTTTCCCTTTGTCGCCTTTTACGACACCCACGGGAAGATATGGGGTAGTGGATATTCTTAACCGCCACTACACGGCACCATTTTTTATTACTATTTCTGAGATTTTATGGCACCATTGAACAAATTCGAACCCACATTTCAAAATAATAATCATTACTTTCGATAGAATTAACCAATTTTAATAAAACAAAGATTAAATGTAACTCGAAGATACGCTTTATGATATTCTTAACGATTTCTTTGAAAATAAAAGATGTTTACTTTAGACGTGATGCGTTCATGCGACAAATAGACAGACAGACAATTCTAAAAATTATAAAATGTTCTTATTTAATTATTTTCAGTTCCCCATAATGATTTTAGCCACCAAAATATATATACAATGTACAGAAAGAGACACAACATGTTATCATCATTTTTACTCATCAACATTTATATTAGTTTCCATGGAAGGTGCCGAATGCTGTACCTGCACTTCCTCTCTTTCAAATAAACGTTCAAAATACTCTTTCCATCTCTTTAACACACATTCTTCTCCTTTTATAATACTCCCATCTTGACTCCTGATTGTACTCAGCTCCGAGGTAGAAGTTTTTCCTCTGGCTGTTTTGATGGATTTCCAGAAAAACTTAATATTTGACTGGGAATCTTCAGTGATACTCCTATCGAAATCATTCTTTGGTTCTTCTTTCTTTCTAGACACAACTTCTTTCGTCGCTGATTTCTATATTTTATACTTTGTTCTTGCTTCCTTTATCTCGTCATCCGTTGCCTTTTGAACTTTTTGGTTAGCTTTTGCTGCTAACCAATCCAACCATGCTTTTTTCTTTTCTTGCACTACCCTTTGTACATCTTTATCGATCCACACATTTCTTTCTTCCTTTCCTTCTTTTAGCAACATTCACGATCCCTTTCTTAAATGTCTCGCACAAATCTTCAATCACACCTATCTCTTCTATATCTTTAAAGCTTTTTTTCAGTTTCTCTACATACTCGTCTTTCTTTTCTTTTTCTTGTAGATTTTCCACTTTTACTCTGTCCAAAACACTCGTGGGCTCGGCCCCTCGGTGTCGCCATTGTTTAAACAGGCCACGCATTCGGGCTATGACCAGGAAGTGGTCTATGTCGAGTCCTACACCGTGGTATGCCCGACTGTCTAGCACTTTCTTCCTCAGTCTTTCATCCACAATTCAAAATCAAGCATACTTCTAGACTCATCCTCATCTCTTCTATACAAATGGATCTTTTTGTGGTCAAACATTGTGTTGGCCACGCACAGATTCCATTTCAAGCATACTTCAAGCAGGCTTCTCCCATTGTCATTCACTCTCTCGTCCCCAAACTTACACAGAACTCCTTCATACACATCACGCTTTACTGTGTTGTTTTTAAACGGTAATAAAACGAAATTTATTAAATTCACCACACCTAACGTTAAGCAGGTGAATATCAGTGTGCTTTTAAAGGTAAAGTGGGAAGGAGCTGGGTCTTGTTGAATCCAGTTTTTCTAGGTATTAGTTGACGCGAAGCTTCAACGGGGCCCTCATATAAATCTAAAAAATGTAATGCTGTAAAAATGCCTTACATGTGTTGAAACAGCTAGTTTAGTTTATTTTAGTTATTTCCATAGCATAATGTCATATGGAATATTGCTATGGGGTAATGCGACTGACATTGAAACTATCTTTGTTGTGCAAAAGAGAGCCATAAAAGAGCAATTTATAACCTAGGTCCCAAGGGATCCCTTAGAGAAAAATTTAAAGACATAACCTTTGGCCTCTCAATATATTTACGAAAATCAAGCACAAATTAGTTATATGCCAGTTACTCGCCTGTAAAGAGTCAGTAATTCCTTCATGGGGCAATATATACGCTTTCACAACAGAGTCCCAGAAAATGTGCAGACCTTATCTACCAAAAGGTTAAAATATTTATTAAAGCAAAAATTGTTTAGTAAGGGTTATTTATACTACTAAAGAGTACATGTTTCATAATAACCCCTGGGAATGAGGTGATCGCTACTATGCTGTTTCTAAATGTTATCATATATTAAAAAAAGTCCCGCTGGGTTTCTTGCATGTTCTTCCCACGATTGACTCAAATAAGAATTACATATAATCAATATTGAATAAAAATGATTTTATTCTACAGAATAGAATGAAATAGAATAGTCTTGTTGTAATAAGTTTATTGGCGAAGAACATTTGAAAATTAAGAAACTAAGATCCACATGAAACAAATGAAATGGTGCGTATTATTAGGTTCTCATAACCGTAATAGTAGTGATGGTAGATAATAGTGTGTACAATCACTACTATCCTCAACGTCACATCACCAACCTCTACACTAGGAAGAACACCACACGAGTTTCGTCTTTCATCAGGAGCCTTAGCACGCGAAGTTATAGTCTGTTCGCTTAGATATGGTCGCCTTTGTGTCGCGTCGTCTTTGCACGTGCCTCTTGTCAAAGGCGCCGCCGCGTCATCAAAGGTCGCCGCGTACACCCGCAGGAGAATTTGGCATTTTAAAACGAAGCGCCTTTGTGAAAGGTTCTTTGCTACCTAACTTCTGTTTATTATTTATATTCGTATTTTATTATAATAACCATAAGAATAAATTAGTATTCTATTTTATTCTTAGAATAGAAAAACATTTATTTAACAAACACAATAAAAAATAATAAAATAAAAGAAAAATAATAAGTGCGCTTCCGGGTGTACCGACACTATCTTAGTGATTAGACTATATTTAACAAATATTCTCATCTTTAGGATTTGCAGTTTTGATTACCGATATTTAATTCAACCTCTATTGAAGAAGATTGAAAGACTGAGGTCTTAAAAATAAATACGACAATTCAAAATTAAAAGCCATACTGTTTGCCATAAATATTTAATTCATAATACAGCTTCAATCATTTTTATCAATACTTTATCATGTAACAATGCATACAGATCACAGTGCGTAAACAGTTACCTCATAGACCCTTTAAGACATTTGCGAAAATTATAAACAATAATAAATCCTTTTGAAAACTAAATTATAAATGGATCGGAAATTAAATCAAAAATAACTCTCAACACCGTATATCCTTTTATTAAATTGATTCTATTTATACAAACATACAGTCATAATAAGTATATGAACTTGCTTAACTTTTATAATTAAATTAAACTATCCCCAAAGTATACAAATATACTTACACAGAAAAATAATTCTAATTACATACATAATAATTTTAAAGAAAATATAATGGATTAAAATTAAACAAAATTTCCGTTATATACCTAAATATGAACATAAAGTAAAAGTACAAAATAAAACGAAAACTATAAGAATGATGGCAATCCAGGCAGGTACAGTACCTGAAATTAAAATGATTACATGTATGTTTAACATTCAATAACAAATATTAACATAATAAAATAAACACTTTTTTATGTGGTTAAAATTTAAGTATAAAAATAATATATCTTTTTATATAGAACAAGGGTGACAAACGGCACACAGTCCAGTTGACCCGTAGATAACTACATCTACCCTCGATTACGAATAAAAAGCAGATGTGTTGTCACTCCTGAGGACTAAAATGAAATGCCTGTCTCCAGTTCTCTACACTTATCATTATATATATATATATATATATATATATATATTAGATTTTGCACAATTTCGACACGAACCATTTTGTGGAATCACAAAAAGCCGGACCCGATTGATCCTTGAAACTCTTTATTACAATAAATCACTTCAGATCTGGTCGGATAAACCAGGGTTAAAACATTCCGGAACCTTAATCCGAGCATATGATCGTAAATTCGCTTGAGCCCTGTGATTAAATAAGAATAAACTGGGTATTTTGGCAAGCGCCCAGACTTTTCTGTCTCTTTTTTTCTGACTGACATTTCTGTTTAAAAAAGCATATATCCATTATGGGACTAAGCAACACAATGATGTGCCGATTCTGTTTCTTAACGGAAAAAACACCTCTGCACATCGTACCTGATTGCGGATCCTGAATGCACAAACCTAACACTAATCCAAAAAACTACGTTCTTAGCCCAGAAGAAGTAAAATTGCTCGCAACTACTTCAATTCATTGAAGACATAGGCCTTATGCATCAATGAACTATAAGCCATAGCAGCGATCACAATAGATCTTACTGGTCGCTGTGATACTGGACTTATTAGACCTGCATCATAGCTGCTCGCACAAAAAAAGGCATTCATTTATGCTATATATATATATACCATTAACCGACGGTAGATATATAGATGTAAAGGAGGCGAGAGAGATGTGCCAGCATCGTGCCAAATGGAAGTCCGTAGTCTCTGCCTACCCCTCTGGGTGACAGGCGAGTGTTTATGTTATGTATATATTATTAAAATGCTTCAAATTTAATTCCATATGCATCATTTCCATGAGGTCACTCCTTTTAGTCCCTTTGGTGTTGTAAGAGGCGAGTATGGGTTATGTTAGTAAAATCTTACGGCTTGTGATAGATGGCGTTATAACATCTCATTTACTTTAGAAGTAAAATACCCGCACCGGTGACATTGAGCAGCGTTAAAGGTGTATGCCGTTAGTTCTGCGAATTTCTGCGAAATTCTGTTTCTTTTTTTAAATCATTTTAAGTTCTAATCAGGAAGACGTTGCCCATTAACTGTTTCAATTTATCTCTGTCGTCTTTTACGACACCCACGGTACGATATGGGACTACACAATGGATATTCCTACACCGACAGTACACGGTAAATTACCTTTCACAATTATATATATACATACCATATACCTACGACCCATAGACATTTACATCGAAAAATGTATCAAAAAAATCGGGACGCGACGTGTAAGTAACGAAACGACCTCAAAATAGCGGCGCTCCCCTCTTCGCCACGCGATGCGTCACAGTCCTCACTCAACGTAACCAATTCTTTAATCCTTTAGCTATCGTGTGATATAATTAAATTTTGGTTGTAGATAATAGATATATAGAGGCAACACCAAACTGTAACCCCCGATTTTGTTATTAGTTTTCGGAAATGCCTTCCACTAAAGGAATTTGAAAAAGTACGTACTCGGAGAGGGCACACTGTGCACGTAGAGGCAGTTGTCGACGGAGATGGAGAGCAGGGCGGCGTCGCTGCGGCTGGCGAGCTGCGTGGGCAGGAACTGCAGCCCCGTCACGAACATGCCGTGCGCCGCGCGCACCTGCAGCACCCGCTGCACACACCACGGCGTTACACGCTTGCTCCAAACGTTTGTGAGTATACAAGACGAGCACCACGGGTCACACATTGCGCACTAAGTTGCAGTCAAGATAAATGGATAGACTCTCTGACTTTACCAATATTTAATTTCGTTTGCCAAACAATTTGTAACGACGCGCCCTTTTCAAAATGTGTATACTTTGACCAAAGACTTATGTACTTTCATATATATGTTTAGTATAGTGAGTGGAGAGATCCGGAAACCCTTTTTACTGGAAACGAGGCATTCCTTCTCAGTCCTCAGGGGTGACAACGCATTTGCATTTCGATTGTTAATTGAGGATAAATGTAGATATTTATGGACCACAGCATCCGCTTGCCACCAGGTGGACTGTGTGGTCATTTATCGCCCTATTCTATAAAAAATAATGTACACTTCTAGACGAACTCCAATGGACTAATATATTGCCCTCTAAGTTACGAGCAATTCTCCGCAATGCGAGATGAATCTAATACCGATTTTGTTTAATTTGACTAAGAAGAACGCTGTTATTATTTATGTACGCTCTTTGTCAGCGTGACTTAGTTTATTTCACATAACTACCTGCGTAACTTTATACTTTCAGAAAAACAGTAACTGTCGTAAATGAAAATACAACTGCGTGACATATTTACTGTGCCAGCTACCCGCCCAGTCGGGTCTCTATCTATGTTGCAGTGTTTGTTCTGAATTGTTGGTGTAGTACGCTTTGGTTTTTACTTTTTCTCGTTAATTGCAGTAGTCGTAATATTTGTTTACGCCAATACCTAACTACTATCCTATACACTTAGTATATCCGATATCAGAGATACTCCGAGCATATTCTCGACCATCTCTTCATAGCTCGATGAATGACCTTGATCTTTCCCATACAACCAGCAGTGACACCACAATTCAGATTCATATGTCATCACTGGCATCGCAGAGGGTTATATACTCTTGTTTTTCAAGTTTTTTTTTATAGGAGAGGGGGCAAACGAGCATGCGGCTCACCTGATGGTAAGTGACTACCGCTGCCCATGAACAACTGCAACACCAGGGGAACCAGGGGAATTGCAGATGCGTTGCCAGCCCTTTAAAAAGGAGTAGGCTCTTTTCTTGAAGGTCCCTAAGTCGTATCGGTCCGGAAAAATCTCTGGTGGTAATCGATTCCACAAGGAAGTTGTGCGAGGAAGAAAACATCTTCTAAATCGCACAGTGGCGGACCGCCAATCATCCAGGTGGTATGGTATGGTGGTATCGCAAGTTTTGTCGCGATGTGCGATAGTGAAATTGAGCGGCTGGAATTAGTCCGAACAATTCCTCAGAGCACTCCCCGTGGTAAATGCGATAAAATACGCAAAGAGATGCAACATCTCTACGCAGTGCCAGTGTATCGAGCCGATCAGAAAAAACTCGGTCGTCGACGATTCAAACCACTCTGCGCTGGATGCGGTCCAGTGGAAGGAGCTGGCACTGGGGAGCCCCAGCCCAGAGATGGGAACGGTATTCCATGTGAGGCCGAACCTGCGCCTTCTAAAGTTGCAGGCGTTGTGCCGGCATGAAAAACTGTCCCGCTCTGCTGAGCACGCCAAGCTATTTAGAGGCCAATTTGGCCTTCTCTTCCAAGTGACCACGAAACTACACGTCACTCGATATGTCGACGCCGAGGATTCCGATACTGGCTGAGGGCAACAATGGGAATGCTTTAAAACTGAGGAGATACGACGAAGAGGTTATTTTTAGTGGTAAACGCGCAAACTTGTGTCTTCTGAGGATTAAACTGGACTAGATTTAGTCGCCCCCAATCCGAGACTTAGTTCTGCAAAGACTCGACTTCAGACACAAGTTTGTTCCGGTACTCGGCGACGTTTTTCCGAGAAATATTGGCACGGCCGGTGTATAGAGCATTACCAGTGCTGTCATCCGCATAGCAATGAATGCTACCGGTTTGCAACATATCATTGATATGCAGAAGAAACAGCGTTGGTGATAGCACGCAGCCTTATGGAACACCAGCGTTAATAGGTTTGTAGTCGGAGCATGCACCGTCTACAGCGACCTTGATGCTCCGATCTGCAAGAAAGCTGGTGATCCAATTGCACAATTTCTCGGGAAGCCCATGGAAATGGAGCTTCGAAACAAGCGCTTTGTGCCAAACCCGATCGAAGGCCTTCGCAATATCCAAACTAACGGCCAATGCCTCCCACTTGGACTGTACTGCCTCCGCCTATCTATGAGTCAAGTAGACCAGAAGATCACCAGCTGATCGACCCTGACAAAAACCGTATTGGCGGTCACTAATCAGCTGGTGATCCTCAAGGTACCGCATGAGGTGGCAGTTTATAACGGATTCCATTATTTAGGAGAACAAGGGGGTGATGGCGATAGGCCTGTATTTGGATGGGTCTGAGCGGTCGCCTTTTTTTAGGGATCGGGTGGACAAAAGCTGTCTTCCATGATTTCGGGACTACGCCTAGGGAGTAGGAGTACCGGAAAAGACGCGTTAGAACCGGTGCCAACTCCGGAGCACACGTCCTCAGCACAATTGGGGGGATTCCGTCAGGCCCACTCGACTTGTGGATGTCCAGGGAGAGGAGTGCTCTGCGAACCGAGCGCTGTGAGAACCGCACATCCGGCATGGAGCACTCACACCGCGGGATGGTCGGCGGTGTGTTCCCCCCGTCATCAAGAGTCGAGTTGGACGCAAAAAGGGTCTAAAATGTCCGCTTTCTCTTTTGCGGCGTGGGCCAGTGAGTCGTCCTCCCTGTGCAGAGATGGTAGTGATGGCTTACAGAAATTCCCTTGGACAGCCTTGGCGAGACCAGAATGCACGGGTTCCCGAAGGAAGGCGAACTAGTTTCTCGCCAATTCTGCCCATGTGCTCAGACTTTGCCTTGGCAATAATTCTTTTGAAGGACCTGGAGGCGAAGTTATACTTCTTTTTAAGCATGCTGGTGTTTACATCCCGAGCTGCCGAAGCCTCAGCGCAGGCCTGAATGCACTCCTGCTTACTGCGTAATGCATTCTTACAGGAGCGACCAAACCAAGGCCGAGATCAGCCTCCGTTGGGTTCCACACAGATGATGGAATAAATAGTTCCATTCCCTGTAGCATCACATCAGTGACAGAGTCAGCAACAGCGCTGGGATCATCCGGCGAGAAGCAAACTCGCCCCCATGGGTAGGATGCAAAGGAAGACCGCATTCCGTCCCAATCCGCCGACCTTTAATGCCAAACACGGCGGCAACCTGCAGAACGCAACCGCGAGGGGAGCGTGAGTGGTACCACACTCCGGATCAGACAATGGTCCGAAGAGCCGAGAGGGGCATCGACGGAAACCTGATATCCGTCCGGATGAGATCTCAGCAGAAGGTCCAACAGGGAAGGTGTATGATCCTCCACATCTGGAATCCGCGTTGACGGATTGTTGTGTTACCAGATGTGTCAGACCATATGTCAAGGCAAAGTCATAAACAGATCTCCCCACATAATCGGTTAAACGTGAACCGAGCCATTCGGCGTAGTGGGCGTTAAAATCGCCAAGGATCACGATCTTTGCGGATGGGACCTGTTGTAGCAAAGAATCAGTAGCCATTTGGACGTGGTCGATGAGTCGGTCTGTTTCAGCATTACCGCTATGGGACCTATGGAGCCACCCGTTTACGCGCGGATGGTCATCACTATCTACGCGTACCCAAAGGATGGACAAATCCGAACCTTCAAGACTGCCGAGGCGTCGAGAACAGAAGATGTCCTCTCTGAAGTTATAAGGTATAAGCAATGGAATTGTGATGGGCTGTAATGATGATGATGAAGAATTACTACACTTTAATGTACCCGGTTCGTACAAATTTAATTGCGTTTAAAAGCAAAATATGTAACAAGTGGTAAATTTAAAATGTTGTACAAACAACTTCAATATGAATATAATTTATTGTTGATTTTTTAAAACCCCCTCGATCGATTTCAATAAAATTTAAATTTAAAGTATACCCTTTGAAACAAAAAAAAAATCCAAATTGGTTCAGGCGTCTTTGAGTAACCGGTGAACATAAATAAAAAAAAGATTCTGACGAATTGTGAAACTCCTCCTTTTTGAAGTCATTTCTAAATAGCACATGAGCGCACAATCAAACCTTTTTTTGACTGAAAAACTAAAAAATTGAAGTGAAAAACGAACACACAGTCCCTCTAATGGCAAGTGGCTCCTGCATTTTATGTACATCTACACTCAACTTCAAATAAATGCTATTGCTTTTATACGTGGTGGAGCCATGCTGCAGCTACATTAGTAGTATAGTAGTTGTGGCACGTATGGGTCGGCTCGACCGAGGACCACGCTCACACAGAAAACCAGCGTAAAATGGCAGCTTGATACTGCTGTGTGAGTGAGATCGTGAGTGTAGAGAACCGGAGACCAATTTTACTGGAAAAAACTGCATTTTGATTTTTAATCAAGGATAAATCTATGGGCAACCTTAACCACTTACCATCAGGCGAACTGAGTGCTAGTTTGTTACCCCAATTCTATAAAAAAAGTGTATGATATATCTAAAATACCCGGACCAGTGACGAGAGGTAGAGTAAAAATGCTACAGGTCAATCAAGCAGATCAGTACAAAGCTCCACAACGAGAGAACCATACTTACAATGTTGTTGTCGTCCATGGACTCTTGACTTGCTGACGAGATGACCAGCACGACAAAGTTATTTTCCTTAACAATACAAATGAAGGTAAAATGTTAGCGACAGAAGTGAACGGTAGCTGACCTGCAAGCTGAACGCGATGTACACTTCGACGGAGCCGCTGAACATGGTGCCGACGCCGACAAAGCGTCCGTCCTCACGCACGGCCAGCGCCGACAGCGCCTCGGGCAGCAACACCGAGCGCCGCAGCACCGCGCCCGCCCCCTGCCCCTGGCCCTCCCCCGCGCACACCCCCGTCCACATCTGCAGCAGCCCCCGCGCCCGTCCAGACCGCGACACTGGGTTCGCGATAGTAAACATACGCGTCTCCTTAGGGCGATCCTCGTTCGCACCGAACCTGAATGTACAAATGGAACCATTGGATAAGACGACTCCGTGGCGCAGTGATTCCGGCGCTAAAAGCCGCACGTTCGAATTCCGCACTTGACAAGTATTTGTAATGCCCACAAATAATTGTAGCGGGTCTGGATGTTTGTCCTTGTGCAATTTATGTATGCAAGCAGTCTTCACAATATACGAGAAAATCCTAGGATGCAGGGAGCTTTTTTTTAAACAGAAGAAGACAAAGAGAGAATTGGATCATATAACCTTTTAATTAAACTTATTTACGCGGTCACCGTGAATATGCGTACTGCAAGCATACGAAACGTAGGATATAATAAAAATTTTACTTCATGTGTGTTAGTTTAGAATTTCATTAGTTATAAACATTAATTACGTACTTATTTTTTTGAGACGATTTAACTATATTTATTTTTTAAATATTAATAAGTTATTATACCTAATGCATAAAAGAGTTTCATTTTTATGCATTATATTGAGTATGCGTAGAAAAATGGAAATTGTAGGGTATCGTCCTTTCTGTGGCCAAGCAACAGTGAATTCACAGTGCTTTTGTGTTGCTTTGAAGATTATAGGTGGAAACAAAATGATTACAGACTTAAAGAGATTCTATCACAGTCCTTGGACGTGACAACATATCAAAGGCCTTCTTTGTTTTGAATTGGTTGCAGTTTGCCATGGGCCTCAGAAAGACTTACCATTAGAATACATACAAATAATATAATGAGATTTGGGTAAAATAACAACCTTAAGGGACAGGTAAAAAAAGAGAGAACATCTGTTATATTTTTTCCTTATGATATTTTTCATGTAGAAAGAATGAATGAGGAAAGAGTGACGAAGCAAATTTATGTTGCAGAGGTGAACGGCAGTCGGGAAGGGACGCCCTAGGCGGAAGTTTATCGACCAAATTGGCGATATGTTGAAAATGGACCAAATCAAGTGTACCTTTAACCGACGAGCGTGTATGCGTAGGTATATGGATGTGGAGGAAGCGAGACAGAGGTGTCAGGATTGTGCCAAAAGGAAGTCCATAGTCTCTGCCTACCCCTCTGGGTGACAGGCGTGAGTGTTTATGTTTATGTTTTTTTTTATTGATAACAAGTCGATACCTTCATAATGTAATAAAGTAAAAATAAATGGATAGACTCCCTGGCTCTACCAAGTCTAGTTTAGTTTTTGTTTAGACTTCTTGCGGTCTTAATACATTACCCATTAATTCTCCGTAACTAGTTAATTCGACTGCGAGCAGGCGAGGACAATCTAACACTGATTTTGTTTAATGTGACTAAGAAAACATTGTCATTATTTATTTGCACACTTTGTCATCGTGATTTAACGTTTATTTCAGATAAATATGTAACTTTATTTCTTATTTGTCTAAAATAGAAACTGTCGTTACTAAAAATACAATTGCCATCTTAATTTATCCATATCGCTACCCACGTCTGCGACGACAGCTGGGACACAGTTTTTTTATTCTAAATTGTCGGCTTTTTAAGGGGACTACAAGAGCAAGTGACCTCGAAAAACGCACGCACACATTCACACAATTTTGTACAGGAAAAGGCCTGGGCCGACACTTTCGGTACACAGGCGCTTACACACACATGTGTACGTATTATGTTCTGAAATAAGAATATACAATTTAAAAAAATCTATTGATTGGACTAAAAAATTAAAACACTATTACGTTAATATGTTATTTGTAGAATAATCTGACAAAAAATCGGTTAAAACTAATTTTAGAGGTATCTTTTTGATTTTTTTCTATCGTATCAAATTAGTAGTATCATGTTATCAACACACTATCTAACTAGCATATATATTCTGAAAAATGTCATATATTTTTCTCATTTTATTTACTGCAATGGATCATATACTTTAAGGCATTATAAAACTTGCATTTAGCTAGTAGCTGTAGTCCTCTAAATAATAAAACTTAAATAATTAAAAAAGTAAAAACTGACTTAAAACAACTAAGAAGAATTTAATCATCAAAATCAGTTAACATGGTAAATAATTATTTGAAGAATTATAAGAAATTAAAGAGTTTGATGATTTTCTCATGGATCCCACAATTAGATCTTGACTAAATTTATATGGGACCAATCCGAAGGAAGCCTTTTTCTAACAGGGATGGAAAAATCATGATTTTTTTAATTTTAATCAAATCATGCTGATTTTTTTGATTTTTTTTGAATTTTTTGATTTTTTGTATATTTCGAAATACACGAGTTGGTAACACTTTAACATAGTAGGATTAAAAGTTTATGAATACACTAGCTGTTCGTCGCGACTTCGCCTGCGTGTTATTTGGGGTTTTAGTTTTTTTTCACGGTACCCTAATTCTTTTTCTAAAATAAAAGTAGCCTAGGTTACTCCTTATGACATGAGCTATCTGCCAGTGAAAGTCCCGTCAAAATCGGTCCAGCCGTTTCAAAGATTAGCCGTAACAAACAGACAGACACACAAAAATTAAAAAAAATGTATTTTTGTTATACGTATCGTATATACTTTCATATGCATTTAGTAAAAAGCCGTAATTTTGACATTACAAACAGACACTTCAATTTTATTTATTTGTATAGATATGTATGAAACTGATTAAAAGTAAAATAATTAATACATACTGTATTAATTACAGTTCATATACATATTAAGAGTGAATTTCTAAAAAATAAAAAATTTGATTTTAAAACTGACAGATCTCATTTCTGAGACTATTGTAGTAGAATAATAAGAATAACATAAAACAACAAAAGATTTTACTTTATTTTAAGCCAGTTTTATTTCATTTTCTGCCTATTACATTAATTTATACATGTTGATTTAAATCAATGATTTTTTTAATCAAAATCAGGCGATTTAAATCGTGATTTAAATCAGTCTGATTTAAATCACGATTTAAATAACCCTGCTTTCTAACAAACGTGAAAAAAAATCAGTATAATTAAAATTGTCCTTTTGTAAAAATCCAATTTGACCTTTGTACAAGGCATGTAGTGGCAGTGTAAGAATATCCACTACCGCATATCATCCCGTGGGTGTCGTAAGAGGCGACAGAGGGGAACAATACAGGGGATGAGCAGCAGCGTCTTCCTAATAACGACTAAAAATAAAAAACAGCTAAGCAAGGCAACTATAGCAAATATTCCCCCTATGAGGTAATCTATGGGGGAGGCCTATGTTCAATAGTGGACATTTATATGGTGTATTTAATATGTAATGGAATGTGATAAATAATTATTACTGAACATACAAAAAAATATTGCGATGAATTGTTATAGATCCTTAACATGGACAATTGGAACTCCAACTTACCTGCACCTTCTAAACAGATATTTAGTACCATTTGGTGGTTCGCAGGTGATCTTCAAAAGAGGCTCACGTGACCTTGTGGTGTCCCATACGAGCGCTAGTCCGTCTTTGGCGATGCTCACCAGCCGACTGTCACAAGGACTGAAGTCCAGATCATCCAGCTGGAATAAAAACATAGCAGTTTTATTTGGCATATTATAGTTACAACAAAGTATTCTTTTTTATTTATGGAATAAAATATTGGCCCTTTTCATTTTCAGATTATTTTATTTTGGGAAGTAAAGCTTGGAAAACACTTGGGGAAAAATTTAAAGATGAAGAATTGAAAGAAAAATTGAAGAAAGAAAAGAAGAAGACAGTTCTTTTAGTTCTTTTATGTTTTACATAATAAAACATAAAGGAAGTAAAAGAACTGTCTACATATATGTCACACTGATGGGCACAGACTTTTTGAGAGGGCTTACAAAGCAAACTTTTGTCTTACACATGACAATTTCTTCATAATTTTAAAATTGCATAATCCCGTTTTGTTGGAGACAATTCACTTTGAAATTCTCTATTTTTCATGGTTTCCGATTTAACCACAAAATTCAATCTAATTTCATCTTGTACACAATTATTTAATTACCAAGATGATGCTAAATATATAAATAATAAAATACACTTTTAAATAAATTCTAAATATATATGTTTTATATTGTACTTATGTGTTAGTGCTGGTTCTTCCCAGGACTGGGGTGTTTTCCGAACCAGTGGTAAATTAAAAATGATTTTCAATAAGTATTATGTAATAATCAATATTGAATAAAAAATTATTCTATTCTATTCTATAGCTGCAGCATGGCTCTACCACGTAAAACCTTGATTTGCATATTGGTGGAGAAGGACATGTGAGTGAAACTTCTATTTTTGTGCATACATTTATGGCACTACTAAAACCGAAGATATTCTGGCCACGAGTATGAATTTTGCATAGAATAACTATATGTATGACCTACAAATAAATGTTCCAGGTCTAGATGTTTCGATCCATCCATTATAGCCTATAAAAGTCAACTGCTGAACATAGGTCTACCTCATAGTAGCCTTAATAGTCTCATAAGCTGAATTTTGCCACAGCTGCCACACTTGGCAAACGTGTTGGCAACTGCAATGTATTATTATTTGGAGTTGTTATCAGAAAGGTGCTGTTGCCCACATTTTTCAGTCCAGTTCCTGTTTCAGTTTCCATCTGTCGCTTTGTATGACACCCACAGATATAGGGTAGTGGATATTCTTACAACACCACTACACAGTTTAGATGTCTATTGAGTCTAGATGTTTGTTCATGTACAATTTATGTACATATAAAATATCTTTATGATACAGAAGTAATTCAAAGAGTTAAGGGTAAAATTTAAAAAAATATTATAAGGGTTTTATTTACAAATTTTGTTAATAAGCAATTTATACGTATTGTCTAATGTTAGTAGGTACTTCGTTATGTCACAAATTTAGATATGTATATTGTTGACGTGGTAAGCATATTATCAGTACAGCCCAAATATAGTATCATATTATTTTTTATATCTCATGGTGTGTACATAGTATCTCATGAGTAATTTTCATTTATTTATTCATTTATGGACTTTGTCTCTGAGTGACCACATTGTCCAGTTTAGACATAATATATAACTAATCACTACAATTAAAATAAAATAGTATAATGATAAAAGTTCCATGTAATTATATATTGCCAAACCATTAAAATCAATCATTTCAAGAATTTTAATGGTCACAGCAAATTATAAATGTTTTGATCCTCGAGCAACAAAGAAAGTTGTGGATATCCACAAGTTAATATATTATGATTGAAGGTCATGATAAAATCAATGCACTTAAAAGTTTTAGTGGTGTTTTATTATTTATTTATTTTATTTATACTCTTTATTGCACACAAAATACGTGTAGTATTTTAACACAGCAAACTTAAATTTATAAATTAATGTACAATTAGGTGGCCTTATTGCTAAACAGCGATCTCCTCCAGGCAAACCTTGGTGAAGGAGATAATTTTCATTTAAATATATAGAAGCGTGCATAAATAGTAGATAAACAAGTATATATTAATAGTACAAGTCATATATAGTATATAAGACAATGCAATAATCAAATACATAATATTATATATACATATACACATAAACACACTAATACATATATACATAACTCACATACACATATACCTACATATACATACATAGAATACATACATATTTATAAATATTTTTATAATACATTATAACTATATATAATATACACAAACCTTATCAAGAAAAATAGATATGACAATAAAATATATTAAGTAAAACAGCTTTGGGCTTTCTTAATTGTTAAAGGAAGCGAGTTCCATAATTTGATTGCTTTGACACAAAAGGAGGAATGAAAAAATTTTGAGTTGTGAGCAAGCATATGCAATATAAGTTTATCAGCTATTCTGGAATGATCTTTATCTGCGTCCATGAACTCAAACTTTGTATAATATTGTTGTATTTAATATCAAAATGAAACACAAACCTCTTTTGTGTGTCCTTCCAATTGGTGAAGCAGTTGCATTTTGGGAAAGCTCCACAGTCTAACTTTGCCATCTATACCGCCAGTTGCCATTAGCTTACCATTATGACTGATCCTCACTACCCTTTGTAGTGGGTCTTCTCTGAAATTCACATTTAAGAAAAAAGTTATAGCCAGAGGATAATTTACAAGGAAAATATTGACATTGAGATTGAAATTTGGTATCGAGATAACTTAAGTCCTGGGGAAGAAAATAGGATAGCTTTGATCATGGAAATCATCCCTAAAGAGGGTGATGGAATTTACTATGAAGGTGTGATTATTGAAGGATCACCTATTGTTTAAAGTATAATATCTACTCGGTCGAAGTATGGGCAAAAGCTAGTATATATAGCCCAGAATAAGATAGTGAAAGTAGTTTATTTATGTGTGTACACTTGAATAATGAGATACCTAATAACTTAAAAATATTAAATACCAGAAAATTAAATTTAAAATAGTATCAGTGGTTGAATGATTGTAATTTATAAAGCGTTAGGGATTTTTGTAGCCATAAACATTAATGAATAAATAATTTGCAGCTATGTATAGCCATAGCAAAACATGCTGATCTGTAACTTTGTGTAATATCTTTTATATACACACTGTTTTATGCAAATAAAATACTATTATTATTAAAATTATGCATGTATACATACATGCATGTGAACAGAAACAGAAATAGTGTATAGTATAGTATAAATAAAACTGAAATAGTAGATAGGCAGCAGAAATATCCTGATAATAACTCAAAAATAAAGATAAAAACTGCATGGCAACTATCCCCCTATGCAGCAATTAATACGGAAGGCCTATGTTCAGTAGTGAATTTCTGTACAGTTAATTTTGAATATATATTATTACAATTACTGATATGGGAAATAGTTTATTACTTTTATACAACTAAAAATATGAATACCGGAAAGATTAAACAAAAATGTTTGAATATTTACCCAAAATCAGTTTGTACACTGTCACAAGGGCGTATTTCAAAAGATATTCGTTTTTCCACGGTAGTACTTTCTGTTTTAGATATGTTATCATTTTCAGAAACAGTGCGTCTACGACGACGTACCAAGCCATTCTCTGCTCTAAAGCTTCCACGGCGCATTTCAGCAGCATCTACCATACGAACATTTACCCTATACAGCTGACAATGGCTCTCTTGTCCGGCGCAAAGATATGTTCGTCCCTGAGCGTTACGTACAGAGCAGTTCATCACCACATTTGGGCCAGTTTCATGACGCATCACCTCTTCGGCAACAAATTTAGTTCCATTGTGCGATAATTCAAAAATCTCCTAGGAAGGAAAAGAAAGTAATGTACTGTAATGTAATGACACGTATCATGGTGATACTCAAAACAGCTTATGTTTTCTATAAATGTAAAAGTTAACACTCACAAATCCATTCGCAACGCCTGTGTTAGACGCTCCGCCACCTCCCGCTACAAGGACATGTCGATTCGTAAGTATTTGAAGCGCATAGAGAGGAAAATCAACCTTTGCAAGCAACCCATCACCTCTGTTACGAGACATTTTGACTTATAACATTAATTGTATTCACTCCACACGATGATATGATTAAAATAACACTAGCTTGGACATAAATATTGCCACATGAGTGTTGTTAAGTAAACAAAAAATACATTATTATTAATAATAAGGCATCAAACTAGGAGATAAAGAATAAAGAACTAAAAGGACTATGAAGTGACACTGAGACTGACAGATCTGTAGTTCCAACGTTACAAAAGTCAAAAATGACGTTTGTAGTGATGTGAGTGTGAAATATACACTGACTTAAAAGTATATATTTGTATCTCTATGGAAATATAAAGTCAAATATCTCGACCTCTTACGTATTACTTCGGTATTCTGACATTATTTCGGTAATATCTTGGTTGTCACTGTGAGCGAGATTATATGTCTCTTCAGCAACATCTTCCGATTTTATCTTCCGATTGCGGTGAAATCATTGTACTTGCTACATTTGATTCATGAAAGGCATGTTGGAATAAATAAATGTAAAAATAGAGCTAAACCATGTTCGTTTTGGAAGAGTATGGTGTTATTGAAAATTACATAAAAGCTTGTAGTGCTTGGGTCAAATTAAGCAATGTGAATGTGAAAGAGCATTTATTGCAACATGGTCTACCACAGCGTGCTTGGAAACGAATAGCCTGTGATATCTTTTCTTAAAATAATAAAGATTACTTAGCGAAAATTGATTAATACAGTAATTGGATAGAAATGGCATTGTTGCTCAACAAAGATTATTATAATGTCATTATTGTGTTAAAAGTGCATTTGGTAGATTTATAGTTCCAGAAAAACTGCAATGTTATAATATGCCTTTTAATAGCCACTCTTTTTTACGGTTTTCATCAACTCATGTCTTTTTTCTTCTTCTCTTCTTTTTTCCCTCCTGCGCTTTTCGTGTCGGTTGTGTTTGTGTTGTTTTTGCTATTTTCTTATTTCTATTTGACTTGGATTGTTTACGGACTGACGCCTTTTCACCTTATAGGTAGGCAGAGAAAGCATCCTTCGTCTTGCTAGGATCCTGGCATACCTTTTTCGCTTTTTTTACATTCGTCAACGTTTAAGGCATTTTGAATAATAAAAGTAGAATCCCCAGCGATGTACTATGTTCATTGACTTTTACAGTTGACGCTAAAAATATATATATTTATAGTATGCATAGTATAATAGAGATAAAATAATCTAAAAACTCTCAATTATGTAGGTAGGCACATTATGATGAGAATGTATTAAGCTAACATCAAACTACCACAGGACGCATGTCTTTTTCCAGATGACAAGAAGACATAACCTAAAAGGGTTCAAGTCTAAATATTTTTTTTTTGACGTCTTCTCAGGACATAATTCTTTGACAAAGTTACTCAGGGACTGACGCTTAACATTTTAAGATATTTTTGATATTTAGACGCTACCATTTCTTTTCAACTAATTTTATGTATGAAAGTCTGCCATTGTTCATTGCACATATGATGCAAATAATATGTTAGCATTAAAATAGTTTTGTTATTATTACGTCCGTATGAGTTTATGTATCAGTTTCAATGTTCCAAGTATCCGACCTTTAGACAAAGTCACAGTGATTTTTCACTATGACTTTTATGTAATCGGAGAACAACCATACAAGTAGTAGATGGAGGTTTCCCAGAGTAATTACTTTAAGGGAGGATTATTCAAATAGAGTATGGAGTGTAGAGTAGAAGGAGAAACATCTTATAAGGTGCGAAAGTTGAAAAAGTGTCCCACTATATACTGAAAATAGAGGTTCCAAAACCTACCACAATAGCGCTGGCGTCTGAAAAACTACGATATGAAGGTAGCTGTTGTAGACGGAGTGAAGTCAGCTGAATTCAAATATTTAAAAAATTTCATGACTATAGTAGTTAGTAAAATGTCAGTATACAAAAACTCAACTATTTACGTAGAACAAAACCAAGCGGATTGGTTGGTCCTTGTTTATTTCTCCATCTTAATCTAATTAATTTTGGCGCTTTTTTTTTAATTTATCCTATGCTACTGCAGCGCCACCCTTATTGGACGCGTTTTTAGGGACACTTTTCGTATTTAGAGATGGTCCTCTTTCTACTCTACACTCCATAAAATAGAGCATTCGGGTATGCTTCTGAGTATGGAGTATAGACTATACTCCATGCTTCTGAGATACAGATAGGCAGTAGGTACTTTACCAGAGATTGCTCCTTTTCCTTGGTCGCAGGTTTATTTTTACAGTACTCTGTTTAAGCAACTTAGTTTTATAAACAGTTATTTTAGTAGTCGTTATAATGCATTTTGTCTGATGTCGAAAATCGAAATAAAAGGATGTAATGGTATTTTTATACTACAAACACAGTAGGTAATAAAAAAAGATTATGTTTTCTCACAAAGATTAATGTTAATATTATCTCAGTTTAGAAAAGTACAATAGTTATCAAGTGTCATCGATAGATGTTGTTGTTTCAAATGTAACGCAAAAAGTGGGGTTGTGTTTGCTTACCTGTAGATTCGATTTCATAACTGCTGCTGATCTTACTCATAGGTGAAATAAGTCGTATACCAATGAAGACTTAATGAAAAAGAAGAATAATATGTATTCCTTAAAATATATTCACCAATAAAAACTTTATGATGTAGGGCAAATTAATGTCAATCAAATCAAAGATCTATTTTGTACCTATTTTTTTTAAATAGTGCCTATTCTGTTACAAAGGAAATAAGAAATATGTTCTACTTCAATCAAAAAGTAACCTTATAACTAGTAACCGACCGAAGATTCGGTTCCGGTTTCGGTTTCGGCAAGTTTCGGCAAAAAAATCTTGTTTCGGTAATAGTTTCGGTTACAGCAAAAAATCTCCCGAACCTTCGCGGCGGCGCCGAAACTCAGTGTTTCTGGAATATCGTGCGTCGTTCGGATGAATTCGTGACTCGTGTATTATTCATAATTATACAGAAACAGAAACAGAAACTTTTTTATTCAATATAGATTATAAATAATACTTATTGAAAGTCACTCTTTTGTTTAATTACCACTAGTTTGAAAAAAAAAGCGTCTGTCCTTGGAAGAACCAGCAAGAAACCCAGCGGGACTTTTTTTTTAAATAATAGCTTACAATCAGAAGCGTAGCGTGGACTAATATAAACTTGGGAGAAGTTGCATCAGCGAGGCCCCTTTTCTTTCGTTCCAAGGATCTACCCAATAGATCTATCCTACCAAACATGCTTTGACACGACATACCTACTCATATCTATTAATTCCTGGTAAGTCTCGTATTCCATCAATGTAACAATCGCGGTCTTTGAAGGTAGTTACAACGGCCTCGTAGTCGCATTTAAGAGGGGCTTCTTGCGAGGCCACAAACAAACACACTTAAATTTGTGACTTTCTTTTTCGAGCGTAAAAGTGATAAAATTAATTAGTCATCTGTGGAAGTCTGGGGGCATCGCATTTTAGGGGGCCTTGCGAGACCCCTTTAAGTGCGAGGCCGTGGGCGAGGGCCCACTTCGCCCATTCCTAGCTACGACACTCTTACAATCATGCACGAGTATGTAACACAATTAACAACACAAAACAAATTAGAAATAGTTTGGTAGTGATCACCTCATTCCCACGGGTTATTATCATCCATACATTTCTTAATATTATAATAACACTTTTTATGCAAACTTAGTTTATTAAAGTTTTTGAACTTTGAACAGGTTTTTTATATTTTCTGGGATCTTGTTAAGTTGTGTGTAAGTGTGTGAGTGTGATATATTAAGTTGATTCTCTTAATGAATAATATTAACAATATTGTGAACATAGTAAAATATGTTCTCAATTAGCGAGTAACTTTTTATAGGTGTAAGTGTTGATTTTTCTACAAAATTAACTTAAAAAAGTATTTCTTAAGGTTAAATGTTGATTTTTTTACTTTAAAATAAATAAATATATTGATACATGACTATTATAATTACTGCTTTTCATTAACATGCATTACCTATATATATATAGGTAATGGTAATGCATGTTATACTTATATATATATATAAGTATACCAGATTTCAGTATACAATAAAAAAATAACATGTCTAAATAAGTTTCGGTTTCGGCCGCAACTAACACCCAGACCGAAGGTTCGTTTTCGGTTTTGGTTTCGGTTGAAAATCCTGTTTCGGTCGGACACTACTTTTAACCTTTATACGTCCCCAAGCTGTGTACAGGCATTTTTATACTTTTGAGAGCGTTCTTTTTTTGAATCAGGGAAGACTTCTTCGCGCTGCCCTACTACGTGTCATGGTGTCGACAAACTCAAATTTTTTTTTTGGAGTTTATGGCCTGGCATCTAGACCTTTAGGCCAATTATTTTATTTATAGTCACCCGAGGCAAGTGTGACATAAATTAATTAAACCTCTAATGGACATTTAAGTAAGTCTACTCTGTAAGGATTTAACATAGAGAATTCAGTTTCATAACATCAATTATTAAGTGCTTGTTTATTTGATCGGCCATTTTAGTATCTATAAGTAGCATTATGTCATTATCATCATCATCATTACAGCCTTTCATAAGTCCACTGCTGAACATAGGCTTCCCCCAAGGAATGCCACTAAGTTTTAATTACCTTAAATTATTAGTTTTAATTACCTTAAATCACACAATGCATTATGTGATCTAAGGTAATTAAAACTAATTACGGTGGAAGACTCTCACACTTACCCCATTAATGAGGCAAGTGTAACAGTACGCTTCTTTTTGTAGTTACTTTATTATTATCTGTTGTTTTCGACAAAATTGAAGTGATGATACTAATGTATATATGACGATATAAACGATTTGAACGTCCATTTGTGTAACAATGAGTTTTTCCCCACATGGGGCAAGTTTTCTGAGTAGTTTTAAAAAAAATGACGGTGTCGATAAAATAATTGAAGCTATGTACTACTAAATTAATTATTATTATTTATTTTTAATTTTGTACTTCTACTTTTCTTATATTTATAATATAAGGCAATCCCTTTCATT